ATGTTTTCATGTTATAATTTGTGTTCATTCTAGAATGAAAAAGGCATAATTGATATTTATTTCCTAATTTTTTTAAGGTGGTTATGAGATCAGTCAAATTGACCAAACCTGTACAGAGATTCGTTACTGAAAATAACAGATAAAATATAGTTTTTTCTTAAGAAATATTTGATACGTATCTGGATATTATAAAGATTTCACATGTGAAATTTCAAAATTTTCTGATGCACAAAAGAATTTTAATCTTAAAATGTGAAAAGAAAAAAAAAAGTCATGAGAAAAACATTGCTTTACAAACCTTAAGACTTAATAAAAAAAATTGTATTTTTCATATGAAAGCATTGTATTGTTTATTGATAATCTACCAAATGTTGTTAATGTATGCTTACTAATTTAAAAGTTATAGCATGAAAACTATAACAAGCACAAAATGGTTACTTGCTAAAAGAGTTAATAATCTGACCCTTTTGTTATCATTCAGTTGAAACGTAGTGATTTGCAAGTACAGATGGTGCTTAAAAGTGACTGTTTCTGGGAGGATTACAGGTGTTTTCAACATAAAGTTCTCTTATATCATGATTGTAAAAGCATACATGTTACAAAATTCATATTTCAAAGAAAAGGATTTATTTAATATTAGATCATATCAGTAAAGCTAAGGCATGATTCCAGCAGTGAAAAGAAATGTGACTTATTCCATAACCAGCTACCCTTCATGCATCAAAGGTAGTGAAGAAAGTTAAACATTTTGTCACTAGAAAATGCAAGAACACAATGATCTATTGTAGCTAAAGTTTGAACCTTCCCTGTGCTGTAAGCAAAATCATGGATGCAATTTTTATTGAACAAAATTGATGTAAGAGCTGTGTTCACAAGCTTGTACAAAGTGTATGACTGAATGGGATCATGGTAATTTAAAACTTTACAAAAAGGACATAGTAGTTTAGTAAGTTTTAAACTACAACTGTAAAGCATACTATGACTGAATGTCAAGAGCTGAAACCTGATAATATTTGTTCAGGTCCAGTGTTAAGGATAGACAACAAAGGTGATTGCCTAAGTTGGCAAACTCTCAGGGGTTCTAGTATGAGTAGGGGCATAGCCTTAATTTATGCGCAGGGTGCCAGTTAAGCTATTACTGACCATGATAATTTTATTTTGTCATTTTACTGTAGTCACTTAAGTAACTTAAGATATAAAAGTGGTTGTTATTTGGATGTTTCAGTTATTGAGTGGTACCCCATTGATTGTTAAGATAATTGCTAGAAGACACAGTGCATATGTATTTATACTTTAAAAATCAACATTACAGGTGAAGGTAGATGAGTTTGCAAAGTAGCATCAAGATGAATTTGTTATATTATTAAAGGGATTTTCCTACAAAAGTACTTTTTTTTTCTGTTCCTAATCAAAATATGGTATAATTATTTTCAATCTTATTTCAAGATCTGCCTTATAATTAAAAGAACACCAAAGTTAATTGCATCAGTTGTGCTATTAAGAGGGATTGTCACTGAAGGCAATAAATTATTGGTCTTGGAAATATCCAACAGATGTTTCTACAAATGTATTGAAACAAAAGTAGTAAACAAAGAACAGGAATGTATTAATATGAAACGGTGAAAGAGATATTGATAATCATTCGAACTTAAACACTGAATGTTTAGTACAAGGATATTAATGGAAACCAGAATCTATTAAAGATGGAATATTAGGGTAGATTTTTCTTAGGTTGATAGGATATGTTTGCTGAATAAGAGGAGATTCAGCAATTTATTTATTACAGAATAGTTCTGTATTTCTCTGAAGGTAGCTGAGTTTTTGAAAATGAAATAAAGAGACTGGACACAATGAACAATCTTTATTTAATAACACAAACACAGTATATAATAATAGGATACTGGACACACACTTTTACTGTATCATAAGGTATTTTTCTCTCCACACTTTATTAGTTATTATCATATACCAGACCATTTAAACTTAACATGTCTTACTTCAAAGAAAATATTAGACTGGTGCTACCTACATGAATTGTCATTCTCATTAAAACTTAAGGGAGGTTATAACCTTGAAGCATCACCTGACCTACCATTGGAGGACATTGCTATTGTCATCATTGAATAAATGTACATCATTACAACCATACCTCCCATGGAGAAACCAGGTGTTACCTCAAGAGAATGACAAAGAACAAAGGCAACTGGCATCAAAGCAACTTAATGATTTTCTTGATTATGTGTTTTGTAAAAGCTGTGCATATCAAAGTAACTGAAAATTCAGAAAAACAGTATATTAAGATAAGAGGGTAGAAAACACATGGTATTTTTATATATCGCATCAGCAATTGAACAACATAAAAAAAACTAAAATATGTAACAAACATGCTCTGTATATTAAAGCTTGTTGGACTTCCATGCACTGTATTATGCTGATCTTTATTTTATAATGTTAGTGCTGTATCTTAAAAAATATACTATGCTCCATAAATAATACAAACATATATAAATTTAATAGGTTTAAAGATTTCTGTATAAATACCCTTGAGTAAACAAGCAGAAATAGAAAAGGACCTTTTTTTTTAAAATAAATACAACACTACCTGTGATACATTGTTGTTGTTGTTTTTTGCCTTTATTACTTTTTGGCCTATGAGTGTCTTAAATATGTTTTAACAATCATTAAAACTGCTGTATGCTATTTTTGATGTTTCTACAGGTTCTTAATCTTTTATGGAACCTTGCCCACAGTGATGATGTACCCACGGATATTATGGATCAAGCACTAACTGCTCACGTGAAGATCCTTGATTATAGCTGTTCACAGGTAATTGTGAAATGAGAACTACCAAATCATCATCTGTTAATTACTAATATTACTTTTTATATGTTTCTTTTCCTTTTAAACAAAAGTATTGGTTTTAATTATTAATCTAAGCTTTAAAATTTGATGTAAAACATTGTTTTTATATTATGGATTTAAAAGTTATGAAATTTCTATACCAGAAAACTAAAAGTAATTAATCATTAGTTGAGTACCATCACTGCAGGCTAAATAATTCATGATTTTCAAGGGCACCAAAACCAAAATAAAATTCCCTGAAGGGCACTAAGGTCACAATACACATTTATGTTAACAGAATATAAATAAATTTTCCAATTAGTTTAGTAAATATGGCATTAATGTTTTTCACTGGGGCTTGGGAAGCTGGCCTATCCTTCCATATTATATTTATTAGGTAGGTAAGTATTAACTTTAACCAGTGAGACCTATGAAGTAACAGTATGAGCTTTAACAATGAAAAAAAAAGTGGTATCATGCTGATCTCAAATGCATTGTGACATTAATAAGATTCTTAGTTTTTGCCCCCTCTTGACTTTAAATGATGTTTGACCTGAAAATCGTATACAACTTTTAGGCACATCTCTCCACTTATTAATTTGTATAACTTTGAAAAGGGTCAAACAAAATCCATAGAGAAACCAGGTGTTACCTCAAGAGAATGACAAAGAACAAAGGTTTCCAGAATGTGACCTCTGGTGACCTTAAAAATCATGAACAACTTTCAGCCATTTCTATCCACTTACTAATTTATCCAACTTTAATAAAGATCAGACTTACACATAAAGAGAACAAGTGCTTTATAACATTTCTAACTTTTGCCCCCTCTCACCCCAAATGACCATTGACCTAAGAATTGTATACAAATTTTATGCACCTCTATCCATTTATTACTTTATTTGTCTTTGACAATGATCAGACAAAATCCCTGGGAGGAGGAGATGTTTAAAGGCCTAATTTCTACCAACAAAATTCAACCCCAACTACTTATTTACCCATATTTACCAAATTTCTGGCACTTGGCCACCACAGAAAATAATTTCACAGTATTCTCCCTCTTAACTCATTCGTTTTTCAGCATGTTTAATGCAAAGAGTATTTGCAGTTTCCCACTTCACTCTGGCTCATGTATGTATGTGCTGACTTTGATTGTCATGTACTGCTGTCGCTGTGAACCTTTGTGTAAGTTCTGCAGGTTTGTTGTTTGGGCACTGATTTGAATTGCTTGCTACTACTAAGAGCCTGCTGTATGGTATGACTCGACAAACTGCATGAAAATTTTACTGTCGACCAAAGTGAAAACTTCACTCCTTCTACTACATGCATTTTATGTGATATACTATTTGCAACAAGGTAGTTTCTGTAGGTTGTAAGTCCAGTGTTTGTAATCCCCAGTAGTTTTCCCTTTACTGTGGTACACAGTACAAATTTAGATTGTGAGGGCACGACGGACAAAGGAATACCAAAGGGTGGCCATCGTGGACATGGATTTTAGTGGTTTTCTGAGAGCACAACAGCCATTTTGAGAAATATGGCAGCAACTGCTGCTATGAATATCCTACCCTGTCACTTTTAACATTATTTTTGTCGGTGATTCAAAAATCTCTGTACTTTGGCTAGCTTAGAGAAGATTTGATTAGTTATTAATCCATGTAGTATGTTAAAAATGCAAAATAATCTTCAATAAGTATCAAAACTAATTAAAAAATGTATTGAATTAGTTTTAATAATCATAATCAATAAGATTGCATGGAACTATGCATAATGAAAAATTGTGTAGCTTATTACTTATGGAACAAAATGATTTATTAATGATAATTTAAGAGTTTTTTTGCAATAGACCAAGGCTAACTTATTAGAATTAGGTTCGTGTGACCCTTTTATGACTTTTCTGGAATTTTGTGTGTGATTACATTTTGTTTTACACTATTCCTTGGTTATATTTCATTCAACTTTTAGGAACTAGATCACTATAACTGATGTCCTGAAATTTTTTTTACACTTACTGTTGGCAAAGAATAAACATTCTAAAAATAGACCACAATTGAAAGCCTTTTTTTTTCTGAAACCCATTTGTTGTAATTTTACTGTTCATTATTCTATATAAGAAAATTATTCTGATGCACATTTCATTAAAAGAAGTATGTTACATGTGGTAATTTTATGTTATATTATAGAAAGTAGCAGATGTTAATACTTTTATTCATATCTGTTAAAAAGTGAAAATGGTTTTTCATTATCATTATTATTATTCTTACAAATATAACTAGGTATTCACGAGTTTTAGTTTCAACATTTTATAGAAAATCATATATATTAAACATAAATGTCTGCCTTGTTCGGTTGAATATTGATTTTCAACAATACATATTAGAAAGTTTCAGTGATAACTATGAGATATTTAGCATACAATTCATGTCTTTTCTTGTGATGAATCTCAGGAAAGAGATGCACAGAAAACTTACTGGCTGGACCGGTGTGTAGAAGAATTAAGGGCAGATCGATGGGTTATACCAGCATTGAAGCAAATACGGGAAATCTGTTGCTTGTATTCCGAGGCTCCCCCCAACTGTAACCATGCTCAGCGCTTACCTCAAATGTTTTATCGCCATGAAGTCATCAACAGGCTGCAACAACATCATTCTCTAGTCATTTTAGTGGCAGATAATCTCACCACATACATGAATATAGCCAGAGCACTGGCTAAGGGTAAGTGTCTTTTGAAATATTTACCTTGAATGTGTAGAATTAGTTGTAATTAAATGGTATTTTTACTTTCAAATAATAGTCTATTAACATAATTTGCTATGCATAATAATATTTGCACCTTTATTATTACCCTGTTGCACTTTCTACCCGATACGTTTTTAATCAAAAAGAGTATTTTCTGTCAGTATTGACTTATTGTATTTCAAGATAACGAAAGTTGAACAATAGGCATATGCTCTTACTTTAAAAGCTTAATTAGAAATTGTATTTTAATTTGGTAAAATAATTATCTGCTTTATTTGAAAGATAACACTAAAAATTTTATGCTTGCAGATTTTTAATGAATGATTAAAAATATGTATCAAAATTACTGGTGTTTAACGTTAACCTTGTAGAATGCCATAGTATTGGATTTTGGCCCATTCAGCTGGTTTCAGAAGGAAATACATCACTAAAATTGTCTGCTTTAATCATCATGAAAAATTGGTAATTTTAAATGACCACTGTGTGCGTATCACATAAATTTCAATAAGTTTGTGATTTGTAGTGAAACTTGTTTAGAACTGGTTATCATATTTTTCACCATCCTGTTAGTGTGAGTTGTGCTTGTGTGAACTTAAAACTTCATCACTTGTGTAAAATCACAAATTAGCAGTGTGCTTTGCACTTTCACAGATTAATAGCTCAAAATATGATGTAACTATTATTTTTATACATGCAGTGCTTCTGCATAATTGAAACCTAACCTTTGATAGTTTTAGTTCATAAAGTTAATTTTGCAGTGGTATAACATTGCTGTCTAAAACATCAGTTCCCAGTGTATTTTGGTCAGCATTGCAAAAGCTATAGCATAAAATCCTAAGAAAGACAAATAAGACGTATCTCTTCAGTGTATTCTTACATGAATAGATAACGTTAAAAATAGTGCCATGCTCTTTTTTTTTGTACAATTTTTTATGAACAGGGCTATTTTTTAATTTGGAAGCAGAATCATAATTTTTGTAACAAAAACAAATTGTCTTTGTAAAATGAATGTTGATAAAAATTCAATATTCTTATATTAAATATTTCGTATCATAATCAACTGATAATTGCTGTTTTGAGCTGTATTAATCTTATGTGAGTCACTCTGTGTGTATGGGTTGGGGGTATAAAATCAAAGTCTACACCATTGATAAGATTTCTGTCAAAAGGTTTTTCTAATTACCTTTTTCAGAATGTTGGATTTTTTCTTCATGTTTCAGAATATCATCATTTGTTTTTTTTCTTAACACCTAATATATTTTTTTTTCTTTCCAGAAACCAGTTGTAGGTGTTTTAAATATGACTTTTATATATATATATATATATATATATATATATATATACACACACACACACACACACACACACTATTAGTTTAGGTTAGGGTAATTGTCGAGTACTTACTTTCTTACTTTAGTAATACTAGTAGTACTACTACTTACCTAATTAAACTTAAAACCTAA